GGGAAGTTTGGGTCATGACCTAGTTCTGGAGCAAGTCCATGCAGAGACGCCTTGAATCCTACAAGGCGGAGAGAATATTTCTGCAAATACAAATTAAAGCCGCCCCCCTTGTCACTGCTCAATATCACACCATACTGTTAGACACTGACACATTTGCAAATACAGAGTGTGCATGGATCGCACAAGCGTTTTTCTCGGACATGTCTGTCCCCCACATGACAAGAGAGCGTTGAAATCTGTGCTTTGCTTTTACTGTGTGCAAATGGGATATTAGGCTTGTCTTTCTTTTTCTGCTCCCCTCCCCCTCGGAGCCTGACATTATTTATATCTGTCATTCCTTACAAACAAGACGTGGGGTATACACACATTGATAAATGGCGGTGAAGAAAATATCAAATCAAAGTGCAGCAATTCATATGCAAGCTCCAAAACGGTGCTAACAGCTACATTGTACGATGCTTAAGGCAGTCATTGTGTCGGTGTCTTATTTAACTGGAGCTTATTTTCTCATGTTTCAGTCAGGCTACACTTTCCTCTGATTCGCTGTCAGTTTCATTTAAAAAATATCTTGCGTGGTCATGCCACAATTTCCAGTTTAGGTCTGTGTGTGTGTGTGTGTGTGTGTGTGTGTGTGTGTATGTATGTGTGTGTGTGTCTGATAAATCAATTGATTAATCAAGTGGTTTTATAATTTAGTAGCCGGAGGCCTATCCAAAAGCCCTTGACCGTGAAGGCAGCATTAATCAGGATGTTCATCTATAAGACAAGTATCAACCTCCAGCCAGTAGTGCAGGTACATTTAGGTCAGGGTTGATTTAGCTGTTGTCAGTGTGCATGTTAGTGGCTTTCACACACGATGAACTTTGAGCGTGCCAGTCTATTGTCTTACCTGTGGTGAAGAGCACAATTGCCTTTAAGCAGCTATATTCAGCAGAGTCAACGTGCAAAGCTTTGAGCTTCTCCACTTGTTCTTGGAAGATCCTAATGTGGTCCATAAAGGCCACCACTCTGTCCGCAGACATGGGGGAAGCGTGAAGGCCAGCTGCTGCCAGGAGAGGAGCCACATGCAGGGGCATGGAGCACTGCGCGGCGTTGAGCACAAATAACTCACTCCACGTCAACCTCAGCAGAGCCACCTGGTCGGTTATCTGAAGATCTGGAAAGAAGGGAATATTCCTGGCCCACTCCACGGCACTGAAGAGCATCCTGGCTGCTAGTTCACAAATGTTCTCGATGCCCATTATGTTGTTGGGTTGCATGCACTGACTGCCATACCGGGACGTCGGGTAGGGCTCCGCTCTCAACAGAAGAGAGATATATCCGGATAAGTAGGAATGGCAGTGGAGTGGGTCTCCATTTGTCAAGGCGAACTGGCCGTGGTGTGGCTGTGTGGGTGGCACCCGTCCCCTTTGCACGGCTGCAGTAAAAAAAGAAACTGCAGATATTGAAGCCTGAATTCTACAAATCAACACACAGTCATTCTGAAAGCTGAAACGTGCTCTCAGACACAGTATAACACATTTTAAAAGTGCCTTAAAATGACCGCTAAGACAAGGCATGACAGTCTGTAACACCAAAACACACACACGCATGATAATTGCAGTTTAAAATGAAAGGCTGTATTCACAATAATGAGACAGAAGTGAGACAAATCATGTACTGAAATATCAGAGATACGCTTTCAGCCCCTTTAACACAAGCCATGCATGTGTCCAGCTTTAAAATGATGTTATTCAGCAACAGCAACATGAGCTGGCTGTGAAGGAACACAAAGAGGGCAAGGGAGACCTTGCATGTTTAACCCTTAACCTACTTAGCAATCCATCTCGTTTTGGTATACATGCACGCAGGCCTATTTTCGAATATTATATTTTTAAATGTGAGACTATATGGAGGCTTTCTATGCATAATTCACGCTGATGTCCAGTTTTAGAAAGACTGAACAAGACAGGCATGATAGATGTAGCCTGAACACGCTCTCTCTTAATTCGACACTCGCCATAATAGCGCAGAACGCTATATTGTATCATCTATTCAGTAAAAATGTATCCCTAAGCCCATAGCTCTGTCTACATAGAATTTCGATTGCCTTAGCCTGGCCGGGGCTCGGATCTTATATGACAAATGCAGGACTAGAATGCGCTGGAGCTGGATACTGTAATGCAAGGCTAAAGGGAAGATCCGACGAGCCCCGTCTCGACCACAGCACACAGCGGCTCCATTGCGTGCTCCAGCCGCACAGCCTAGGAGGGAACAGGCTATGGGGGCGACAATAGATGGCTTCATGTCTGGAAGCCTACAAACGCACAAACACATACACGAATGAAAATACAAAAAGTCCCAATACCTTCCCGTCTCATGCCGACTTTAAGGCATTTTTTGAGGCGGCAGTACTGACACTGATTGCGGTGGTGCTGGTCGATTGGACAATTCCTGTTGGCACGGCATGTGTAAGTGAGGTTCCGTCGTACGCTCCGTTTGAAGAAGCTTTTGCACCCCTCGCAGGTAAACTGGCCATAGTGTTTGCCACTAGATTTATCCCCACAGACCACACATTCAATGTGCTGTGGCTGTTTCTCCGACTGCTGCGTCGTCTGGTTCGTCGGCGTGGACTGTGTGTTGTTCGGGGGTCCTTGGACCGGAGTCTGGGGGGTCGGAGGGGCGACCTGAGAGGCTGTCAGATTCAACTGGCCTGGCTGAGGAGTGGGAAGAGATAGTCCTCCTTGGGTTTGCGAGGAAAGGGTTCCTTGGGTGTCAGCCACATCGTCCTGGGAGCCTCTCCACACTACCATTGCCATATCTATCAGTCAACGTAAAGAAACTTTTTGTCTGCCGTTTTGGTGTCGCGGTGAATGTCTCAGGAAAACGCGGTAAACTGTGATTAACAGCCGGACACACAAAATGTCAAATCTAGCCTACGTTGAATCCACACTGAATCTCCCGAAAACTGTCGATTTATTGCTGTTGGAGACGTTGCGAAGCACGTTTTCAAAACTGATGCGATGGCGAGCTGAGTCGCTGCCTTGCGCTTAAAGGCCAAGTCCAGGGGCGCTTACAGTCAGCCATCCAGTACACCCATCAATGGGAAAGGTAGGCTAAATATTAAAATAATCAACCGAGGTAGCATGGACTATTCAGTGAGTGATGGAGCAGGTTGGTAAGACCGTGCCTGCAGCAGCATACAACAATTGGTGAGCACACTGTAGCAGCTACTATCAAGTTCCAGCACAAGTCTTGAAGAAAATCACCAACTGGATTAAAAAAATGCGTCTTCTTCCTTTTCTTCTTGTGAGGTAGCGCCAACAAGCGCGCAGCTGAAGCCAGTGTTTTGAGAGCCTGGAATATGAAGACAACTCTCCCCAAAAAGCGAAAGCACTAAAACAAAAAAGCAAAAAAAAAAACAAAGATCACAACCTACAAACCTCCTCCGTGCACTGAAAAATAATAGGAAAAAGGAGTAGTGAATCAAAGTGATCAAATATGTTAAAAAGGCGGAGGTTAGGAAGTGATTTGCGATTGGTAGGAGCCGGGCTGGCAGAATGCTTTCTCTCTGATCAGCTCACTGAGCTCTCTATATAGTGAACTTTGACACGACTGCTGCAACTTAGCACACGTTACCATGGAGATCGGCTGCCATATAAGGAAGGAGAGTGTGTTTGACTGGTCAGAGCTCAGGGACCTCCCCCTGAACCCCATTGGCTAGTCGGCACTTGTGCTACTTGGTACCTTGCCAGAGCCAGCATGGAGGTCGAGAGGGCCGCTTGGTCCTAAAAAGAGACGATTTTCGGCAAGAGGAATCATTTCTAGTCACTCAAATCTCCCAGACTATAGGCTACACTCGCATGCATGCCCAGTAAAGCCTTAGCAAATTCATTGGTAAAAAAAAGAAAAAAAAATCCTTATTCAATTCTTTGCCTCATATTGCCTTACAGTATATCCGGCATTTCAATAACTATGTCCAAAGAGATGTTCTACCCGAGACACACTTACACCTTTTGGACATGATCTGTGCTTATTACAATAAAAGTCTCTATCTATTGTGTCTTTAGGTATGTGGATATATGGACAGAAACACACACACACACACACACAGAGTAGAACAAAAGGCATCATCTAACTGGATGAGACTCAGAATTAATATTGTCAACCCTGCTACAATATAGTAAAAAATAAATAAATAAATAAAGCAGCAGGCTAATACACAATAAAGTCAGGCAATGAAACAGGTCACCCACCAGATGAATAACACAACATCAATGCCTGTAGTTTGGACTTCTAAGTTCCTGTGAAGGCCAATACACCAATCAGTGCTCCTAATCACACTTCATCACAATCCACACCTCTAGTAAAAATGTTATGATAGGCTACTGACATCATACAGGCGCCTGCTGAAGCCTGCTAACCCCCCTAGCCACAAATGTCCAAAAACCCTGGGACGGGGTCAGAAAAGCCGAATCTGGGTCACAAAAGTCACAGCTTCGTCTGTATGTGGTCGAAACGTAAAACAACTTAAATAAGAGCTACAGTTTAAGATGTCACTCGAGGTCAAAGGCCATGCCCTTCACATTAAGGCCAGGATAGAGTCATTCCCTGATAAAGGAAGCTGTAAAAGTTGTTTGTGGTCAGTTAGCTGTTTTATAATGTCTTTCACATATCGCCTCATAATAAATGATAATAATAATCTAGAGTTTGCAATAATGACAAGCACAGTGAGGGATGCTGTGAATGTAAAACAGGGTCAGTGGTTGCTCAGAGTTGCTCCTTACATTGTTAATGCCCTTTTTTTTTTTTAGACCTAAACAGCCCTAAAGACCGGTACCACGGCCAGAGGCTATCAGACTTGAACTGCGGTAAAACTTCATGGAGCCAACAAATCAACCTATAGCCTCAGCTGTTAGTCTATAGAGAGAGCAGCAGCAGCAACATGCATGCATTGTCCCAGGATGTATGACAGTATATGGGTGCCCCCTAGCGTATGATGCTTTTTTGCTTCAAATAAGATTCAATTTAGAGGAGCCATCGGACACGGAAACTGCTTCAGTCTCGTCTCTCTCATCGACCAAACTAACGAGCACCGTTTTAAACTGATGACTGTTTGTTTAAATTCTGTTTTACACGACTTGGACGGCAAAGCTTTGCGATTTGCCAAAGCTGGATTTACTTTTTGCCACTCCAGACAGTCCCAGCGGTGGTATTTAGACCAATTATGTCTTTATTCAAAAACAAATTAGCCGGTTATATTTTGTCTGCATGACTGTTTTGTCGATTTTATTTACAGATCCCGTGAACGTGGAGTGTCTGTAAATAAAAATTATCCTCAAGATATCGACTTATCGAGGATCCAGCTTTGCCTCAAATGGTAAGTATACATTTTGTACACTTTATTATGACGAATCAGCAAAGCAAACGCTTTATTCCTCTGCTAGAAATTAAATATTATGTACACGAGCGAAAAGGCTTAGAAATAAAAGACATGGATTGCTGCAACATAGAGATACGACATTTCTACAGTGCGCGTTGAGTACGGGCGACTCTATCAGTAATTTTCGCTTATTATCCAAGCGTTCATTGATATGATGATCACAAAAAGCCCAACTAGTTTGCAAATACTCACTCATAAAGTTATCTGATAGTGATAGTGCGGCAGGAGGCTGTATTCTTATAGTAACAAACCTACCAAATGCATATGCTGCTGACTCGTCCGTAGCGGGATGCATCTTCTCTCTTATTCAGAATATATTTAGTCTTCTCTTTTTCGACACAGTGCTCAGATTGAAACTGGCAAAGCTTCCTCTCCGAGAGACGGGCTCAAACACAAAAATCACCCTGTTTATTGGAAAATTGCAATGTCTGATCATGCAAAAACTTTGGAGAGCCGGAACAAACACCTGATTCACGTCATGTGTTGTTAAGCGAGCAATTGGAAATATAAGTTGACGTGTCGTCCGAGCAGAATGTCATTTGACTGCTTCTGGAAATGATAAATAGGCTTTACAGCAAGCAGAGATCCTGTGCGCCTTTTCTCTCCTACAGTAATATGGCCAAAACGCGCTCTTACGCCGCTGCTTTGTGTGGGCTACAGAGGAGAGAGGGAGGGGGTGAAGTCAGAACAGGCACCTGTCTTTAAGTGTGGCGAGCGTGCATCATGACATTGGACATATTAGAAATTATATGGAGATGGGAAGTAAAAACGCATTAACAGATGTGATGAGAGCTGAAATTAAAACCGCCAAACATTTCATTTTATCCTAAAATAAATTAGAATAAATAAACATGTTATTATTATTATCCTATCATCATTATTATTATTACTGTTATTATTATTAACAATTATAATATCACATTGTTGTGTATATGCATTATTTAAAATTAAGATATACACAACCAAATAAACAACGTCTCTTTTCTCCAGCCATTTTAAACGTTATGCAGCGGTTAAGAAGGCCTAGGCTAGATGATAATAGCTTCAATTAACCTCACGTAAATCTATCCTGAGTTGAAAAATCGAGCACCTATTTCATGCATAAACATTTTCACACTACCATAACTGATCTGCCATCACCCCCCCACCCCAAAACTCTTGTGCTGCAGTCTTTATTTCCTGGGTTTAAAAGTTTCCTCTGTGTGATTAGTAGTTTGCTCTCCCTTCAAGCTGAAGATAAAAGCACTATATGCTCAGCGAGCCTGCATGCACACAACAATAGCGTTGCCCAACGGGACCAGTATCGATTAAGACGAGACAGAGGATGTCGCCCGCACTAAATATTTACTGATTACACGCAAATAGCTGGATCTTTAACGATTTCCCATGCTCCGGCTGGGAGAAAGGACTAAATCACTTTATTATTGTTAGTAAAACAAAGCACACGCCCTGGAACACAGGAATGGAGACGCGCTGATTGGAATAAGTGCAGTTAAATTAATCGATGCAGAGTAGATAGGTGAGATTTATGTGCGTGCAAAGAAAAAACCTTTTACTCATGTATAGGGATAAACTGATTCAGAGTTGTAATTCTTAATTCTTTGTCCGCGCAGTGGTCAAAACAACGCAAAGTCAACAGATTAGAGGCTAAAACTTCCCAAATACCAGCGTGGATTAAACCGTCTCGCATATACATCTGACTTTTAATAAGTGTATGGGATAGATCTTCTAACAGAGGGGGTCGTCCTGCACGAGAAGAAGCTCCTCTGACACTTGTGTATAAAGACAAAACTGAAATAAAAGCTGACTTTCATCTTATCTCTGCCTTCACCAAGTCCTTCATGAGATAGAGGGAAACTGATCCAGAGGTCTCCAAGTTCCCGGCCTGATTAACCCTTCCAGACCTACACAGGAGCAAAGGTTAACCAGGCTAATCATCTTCAAGAGTCTGATTGAATTAAATGACTGTGGAATTAGGACAGAAACTAAATTGTCCCACTTAAAGACACCATCAAGAGACAGGCTGGTCATTTTTGACAACCATCTTCATTTAAATTAACATAAAATATAAAGCACAGAGGAATTAATTCTAGACAACAGAGGATCACTTTTAACAGGTTTCATTTGGTTCTACTATAACATTAAATATTTCAACATACAGAACACCCACAGACCCATGAACTGTTTTATCCTGCTTGATAAAGATCACTTCATTGGCCCACGTGTCATGGCATCTTAACTGTTGCATTGCATCATATCAATTAGTACCCCCTGACTTTCTAGTAAAGTTTACCTCTTGTCTCTTTTCATTATTGCTTGAAAGTTGAAAAAAGTAGACCAATTAGTCTACATGTAAGTTTAGTTGGATCAAGGTAAACTGTTTACTGACAAAACATGCTTAAAGTTCCCTGAAGTCACTTTATATGGCAAGGTCCATTACCTGAAGCAATGAAAGCAAAACATGAGCATTTAAAGCAAAACATTTAAATTTTGAGCATATAAAAGATTTGCTGATTATGTTGGCATAAAATTATTATCTCAAAAATAGCAATATTTAGAGAATATAAATAAGGTGTGCAGAGTCTTACGGCTTATATTTTCATTTTGATTGGACAGCTGTTAAGAACAGCTTTTACAGGTTTAAAATATATTAAATTCTGTTTCTGTCCTTTTTATTTCTTAATATATAACTATAGCAAATCAACATCCATCATCACAATCAACACCCTCTTGTGGTAAACATGGTGCGTGTTTGTATGTGAGTGATCTGATTATATGCATACGCATGTAGGCGTGTGTGTACAGTCTGACAGAGGTAACCTATTACATCCACATTTTTTGTGAACGTGCTTTCATAGGTTGAGACCATTTTATAAGGAGTTCATCCAGCGGTGTAGATCACTTTCTCTCTGTCTGTATGCCCTAAGGGCTGCTATCTAACAAGGCAATAGATTCCAGATAGCTCACCGTGTTTAATTTGCCAATGATAGATTATAGGGCCAATATAAACAGATAGGGATCAATTTGTCTCAATGATCACTCTTTAGGCCGACTGCCAGGATGTTCTTAATGTATTTGTAAATGCTGGTTGTTTGAATCGCTGCTGTTCGGTTTAAAGTGAGCAAAAACTGTAGCATGTGGAGAAATGAACAGGGTAAATGATGAATGATGTGCTGTTTTGGCTGCTGAAGACTGCCTAGATGGAGCATACGCTAGGATTACTTCAGGCAGCAGAGCTGTAGCAGCAATGACTAGAAGGTCAATGGTTGAACTCTAAAGACTTGCTGGGAAAGTGTGGGTAGCGGAATTGTGTGATAAGTGCTCTCTAACCCTGAGGATCTACTGCTGAAGTGCCCTTCGGCAAAGCTGCTTAAACCCCATCTGTCTCAGTGGAGCTGCACAGCGGCCAGCAGTACAAGACTGCAGTTGTACTGGGCACTTGTGAGATGTGTCTCTTTGAGAGTGACCTGCCCTCCCTTTTCTTTTTAAAGAGGGAGAGTGGGCTGTCCACTCGCCTAACCATTTTTTTTTTCATGTACTCAGACAGTGAAAAACTTTGGGAGAAAACACAAGAAAGCCGTGGCAGCATTCAGTCCTGAGCCAGACATGGCTCATATGTGGCCCCAAGGGCAACAGACAGTGTATTGAATTACTGTAACTCAAGGTGTAATGTGGTAGCAGCGTGGGATATGTAAGAACTACACAAAAGGATGTCGAAGAGGCTCACTGCAGCTTCAGCTTGCAGTTATTTAATGTTGAACTGTGGTTTAAAATTTCAGATATAATCCCTCTTTAGTAATAAGGGCAGCAACACTATTATTACCATTAGATTTATCAGTTATGTCACACTGATATTATTATGTGAAAACCTTGTATCTCCACATTTTGTGATTTCAGTGTGTTAATGTACATTAAAGAATTATATGCTTTGTAACACAAGGAGAAAACACTTGGAGCCCTGCTGGATCAACTCATAAATGCATGTCGGTAAATGTACTTCTTGAAGATTTTGGACATATCGGAAATAAAGGATTTTCATGAGACATTTACAAAAGCTGGCCAATGAAGTATTACTGTTTGAAGTGTTACTGAAGTAGTCAAAAAAGTAGTGCCTCTGATTAATAAAGTTTAAACATATCATATGAACTTTGTTTTTGACTGCTTTCCTTTATATCGTATCTAGTGTTACAGTACATGTTTACATTTTAAGAACTGATTTTTCCAGTTTTACCATGACAATGTAAACAAGTAAATAATAACTTTTTACTGAATAAAACATGTTGTTACAATCTATAATAATGAGTTTGTTAGCAAAATGCTTTTCAAAAATCCTTTAATTCAGTCTTTGGCTTTCTTGATTCAGTGCGATACGTACATCAGAAATATAGTCAATACTGTTTCTGGTGGTTTAGCAAAACCATATTTAGTGCAAGTCTTATGAGTGTCTTTCACTTTACATTCATGCAAAATGAGATTGTGACCTTCTACATTTTTTTTACTTTTGTGGTGAAAATGTGAATTTCAGAGTATGACAAAACATGGAACTACTGTGCTATACTATAATGAAAGTTCCTAAGCATTGGTCAAATAAGATTCATAGAAAATGTGAATTCTTTTTTTAAGTGTTATCTTCATACTGTAGCATCAGTAACCCAGCATCGCCCAGAAGCTGGTGCCAGCTGTGAACCTAATGTGACTGAAGTGCAGATATTTTATTAAAGCATGCAGGAGTTTCAACACCGAAATGAACCACAGTATAACAGTCTGGACCAGTTGTAAACCTGAAGACTGTAGGTTGAGAAATCGTTCAGTTTTAAATGCTTGATCGTAAGAATGCATTTCTCTGTTGAAGCGTTACAGACATAAATTTTATAACTATGAACAAAACCAGCAGCCCTTAAATAGACAATAGTAACTACAGGTACTGATTTAGCATTTGTGAAAGGAACATACTGTATAATAGTAAATATTGCTGTTTGAGATTTTTCAATCACACAGTGTGATTAATGGTCCTTGTGAGCTGAGGGAATAAAAAGTAAATGGAATGTGAATGGGATTTGGTTAGATGTTCACAACAGCAATGACTTCGAATAACAAAGGGAAACATTTCTTGGTGCAAAGATGACCTCAAGGGGGAAAGCCATTAAAAACAGAAATCACTTATTCACAGGATCTTGGTTACTTTATTGTCACATGAGGACACACACAAGCTGCTTTTAGAGCTCACAACACGAGAGTCAATACTCCATAGATGATGTCATCACAGACAATTCTTAGACTTGCTCCACTGACAATAATCTGAGAGGGGGTTTGTGGACATGTGATAGTGCCCAGAGGTTAGAAAAATACAGGACTTACTAAGCTCTCAAGTACATTCAGAGGAGTGAACGGTATTTATTTGCAACGTTCCCATTTAGGATCACAGTCTTACTAATTAGCCTATATCTTGTAAGGTAATTGCAATATAATACAATTGCATTTAATGTTTAATGGGTACAGTAAATACACACACAAAACCCAAATGAACAAACAACTAAACAAAACATCTATAAACTAGTCTAAAGACACAGGGCGTCAACATCTAAGGCGATTAAAAAGTGAACCCATAGAAAACATTTGTGGCTGATTCAGTTTTGGTGAATAGCATTCAGTTTCATCTGACTGTGGATCAATCAACAGGCATAACAAAGCTGTAAACAACAGTGGTGGCTGTGGAGTGCAGCCAGAGCAGAAACTGGAAGGCATTAAAGCAAACAGAGAACAAAAATTAACTTATTAGGTAAATATAAGACAGACACTGCTGGATGATCACCCCTGCCTTTGTACTAACAACAAACACTATATGCTGGTGTATTTTTCATAACAACAGCTGGCACAGGCCTATATGTCCTGAAGCAAAACCATCAAAAAGAGGGTGACCACACATTTCTTATGTTATCTGATGTTGGGACGCCTCATCTGCCTTGGAAGGAAAAAGAAATAGTAGGAAAAGAAACAACATAAATATGTTTTTCAGCTAACAAGATGAGCCTTGAGCTGGCAAATCACTATTTAGGTTAAAAAAAGACTTGGGGGAGGTGGTGTACAGCAGTGATGTAGTTCATAGTGAGCAGGAAGTTGTTACTGTACAATATTGAACTTCAGCCATTTTTTTTAAAAAACATTTCACATTTTAGAGCTCTTGTGTCTTACCTTAGCTAAACGTGTTAAGGTAAAGACTAGGCAACTAGTAGTTTAGCCATTTCATGTAATGAAGTAATGGTAGTTAAGATGGCAGTGTACACTGGTGCATTGCACTGTGTCCCGGGTTCCTCCACAGCTTCCAGTGATGTGAGTGGTTGACCTTGGTACAGTAAGTATAGTGAGCGTTCAAAAGCACATTTCTTCGTTTGATCTTAAGCATGCACCCTACTGGCTCACCTACTTGTTCACTTACTGCAATACAAGAAATGATGTTCCATTGCTTCATGTCTGCTCATTCATAAACCCATTAGATGCAATAGTTAAAGAAATATATATATATTTTTACACAGCTTATTTCAGAGGAGGATTTATAGCTTTTATTTATAATACTGACTCCTGGCTCCTGTTCTTGATCTAGATTTTCCCCTATGAATGAAACATTAGTAAAGTATAGCCAGTTAAAAACAGGTGTGACTGATCTCTTCCAGGAAACATACTGTAGAGGACAAATTAATACGGTTAGGCTGTATAACTAGCATGGCGGTGAGCCCACAGTGCAAGGATTTGGTCCTGTGGAGGAAAACACTGGCTTAAAGTGTAGGTTTGTATCTCTTGTTATATTAATGTTAAAATACTTGTCTAAAAGATATAGAATTCCTTTTGTTTGTTTTGAAAAGGCAGTATAATAAATATATACAGAACAAGTATAATCAAAGGTTATAATGAAGTTTGATGTGAAGTGAATGCCAAGATGATAAGAGCTCACCCATATTATTGTGTGATACTTACCACTGTAATCACATAACACTGTATACGTAAGTACGCCAGCTTGTTTCTTACCTGCTCTGCCCAAATTCAGCTGCAGTGTCAGTGCTGTATCACAGGAAAAAAAAAGCTTATATAAACACCACATTGTTTCCAACTCAAGGTGAAAATAATACCATAAACTATAAGGCTACCCATAATAATATGGGTTCATATAACCAGCCTGTGAAAAAAGTAGGGCCCATTTCATCAAGCTAATTGCCTGTTTGTGAAAGGGAGCAAACTTTTCTACCGCCACTCTATTATGGAAGCTCTTTCTTAATCATAAATAGAGCCCTTGTATCCCAGAGGGACTTGCTGTTCTAATTTACAATTGAACTAAAGACCAAAGCTATCAATCTTTCACAGACACTTTATTTCTGCCCCCCTTCTCTCTTGTAATTGTGGTGACATAACCATAAACAACAGAGAAAGGGCTGCTGTGACTGATCTGTGGAAATGACAGCATTAACACATGAGCTGCACATAAGCACTCCCATCCACCGCACATGTGATGGTGTGTACACCCATACACAAACACATACTAAGGTGCAGTGAGCAGTCAGGGCATATATGGTAAAGTGACACATGCTTGAAGTTTTAATAGATACAGTGTTATGGAGACCTACTGTAAACCTTTCACATAATCTTTTAAGGCTTAATAAATGTCACTAATCCAAATCAAAATAATGCAATACAACAGTTTTGGGGAAACATAGTGTTAGATAGCATACATCATTTTAATAAGACACCCTTTATTAAAGGTTTATAACTGGTGGCATTATTAGCAGTTAATAATCATTTACCAGTGCTTTATAATTATTAATAAAAACAAGTTAGTAAACAATACAACACCAAGTCCTTATGAGTGTCATGGGTTTCTTACCTACCAATACCCATCCCAGGCTACAGTTGTAAATGTTAATAAGTTGTTAATTTTTCTGATTAATTAAAGGATCAATAAAAACACAAAACAAGTGTCACTCTGGGGGAGGTGCTCATCTTTCTCAGCCACAGAGATTTTTTCCCAACCTGGCAACCCAATAGCTTATAACCTAACTTGAAGCATTTATAAATGCTTAAGTTGATATAGCTATTACGCACTACTTACAAACTCTTTATAGAGGGTGCCTTGACAGAAAGTGGTATTTAAGTCGAATACATTATGGTACATATGTTCATGTAAGCCCTCTGCACAATGTGCAATAATAAGGAAACGTATCTGCATAGTTTCACATCTTTAACAAAGAACTGAGGAGCTCTCACACTGTCAGTGAGCTGCTGTAGCGCCTCAGACACATTCATGC